AAGAACAAACCTGCCATTACAAAGAGATTCAGAGTCAGATGCATCAGAAACTGAAGAGACAATTTGTGAAATGGTATCACAGTCTACTCAGACCAATACCTCAGCACCTAATGGAACCCTGCATTTATCTGCACCTCCCAGTCAAGCAAAAACTAAGGAGACCAAAGTCATGAATCTGCCAGAAAGTGAAGCAAAGGCAGTAAAATTCGGGCAGGATGAGGCTACTTCTCAGAAAAAAGAAACTAAGGACCCAGTTGATACTGAGACATCTCCTGTAGCCCATTGAAGCTCAGGCCCTAGCAAGAGTCTTCATTAACAGCTTAGATGGAAGTCAACCCTAAATGCATTTAGCAATGAAGCAAATCTAGATTCACAAAAAGGACATTGAAGTCACAGAGAGCTTTACATAAGTGTAGACAGACCATGAAGTCAGCAGACGGACTGGCAGCACATGAACTCTCTCAACTAGCAGAAGGACCAAAGGCCCTGATAATGCCAGTTTTGCTATACGGTAGCGAAACCTGGACAAGGCTCGTCTTGAAGCCTTTTGCAATAGGTCCTTGCGCCAGATCATGGGGTACTGTTGGCGGGACCATGTGTCCAACCAACGGTTGCACCGTGAGACTGGCACAAGCCCTGTTATCTGCACAATCCGTGATCGCCAACTCAGGCTATATGGCCACCTGGCTCGCTTTCCTCAGGATGATCCTGCCCATCAGGTCGTCTCTATTCGAGACAACCCTGGGTGGAGGAGGCCTGTAGTCGTGGCTTGGGCAGATTGCCGTGATGAACTAGAGATGGGCCGAGTCCCTGCCTGGCGTCTAGCCATGAGGGATCCTCGTGGGTGGAAGCGAAGGGTGGATGCGGCTATGCGCCCCCGTCGGCGTCAGCCCCCATGATGATGATGATGAATATGTCTCAGACATCTCCTGTAGCACATGGCACACCAGGAGAAACCACCTCAGGAGGAAGCTCAGGCCCTAGCTTGGATAGTTTTAATTTGTCTCCTGAGTCTTCATTAGGGGCTAGAAACAGCTTAGATGGCACTAATATTAACAATGAGTTGACTTCAGAGAGTGTTCAGCAAATTGTCATAGATGGTGAAAATCTCTTAGAAGCAGGTGAACCAGGTGAGGATTTACATGTAACCTAACCCTTACAGTCTGTTAAAATTTGATGTTATCTTAAGCGTTGTGAGGTATGGAGCTTTTGTTGTGATACTTAAACACAAGATTAGTTACTTAGTTACAAACTGAAGAAAAGGAATAAAGGTCACAAAGTCATTGCACATGATAAAGTGGATTTCATTTAATTATTCTCTGCTATGTACAATACTATGGAAATAAAGCTGTATCTGCATTGTACATAGCATTTGCATTATAAATTCCAACTTGATAAGCAAAATAAGTGACAGATGCCTCATAGCAACTCTTTAAGTATAAAAAGTAGCCAGGATTAACAATATATAAATAAAACTTGTTAACAACTGAAGATACTGGAGCTTCAATAATGTAAGATAAATTAATTGAATGTGATAATCAAAATAGGCTTAATACAAAGATCCTTTAGCTTCCTAAATACCAAGAGCACAGCACAAGTAATATAATACTTACCAGAATCATTAGGATATGACATATCTTGCTCATTCATGTTATAATTTTCCAGTGTGGTAGAAAGGAAAATTGCATATCCCTATAACACTGATATTTTTCCAGGCAGCCTTATATATAGCAACAGTTGTGAGAGTGGGGACTGTGAAATAAAAAAGGCTTCAGGAGGAACAGTGCAGCGGACTTGTAAGTCACTCAGTTTTTTTTGTGTGTGTGTGCTACTGCTTTTATTGTTGATTCTCACATTCAATCATTGTATCATGTGAATTTTGTTTTTATTAGATCATAAAACACTGTGTGTGTGTGTGTGTGTGTGTGTGTGTGTGTGTGTGTGTGTGTGTGTGTGTGTGTGTGTGTGTGTGTGTGTGTGTGTGTGTGTGTGTGTGTGTGTACATGTGTGTGTGTGTGTGTGTGTGTGTGTGTAATAAAGCAGCAGCAATTATAATAAAAGAGATGTACTCATATCCTACATACCAGTCTCTCCATTTTTTCCTCCCAATAACAGATTCAGGACCTGTTAGGCGGCAGGTAGTGAAGACCAAGGAAGGTGGTAAAAGAACCTACGTGATCTTAAACAAAGCTTCCCTAAAGACACTGCAAAAGAAGGGAGTCTGCCAGCAAGTGAAGAAAAGTAAGTACATCAAGCTAGTGAATGTTTTTCATGGATTTTTTTTTTCTCTCAAAGAATGTAATTTATTAGTATAACCTAAATTACAATATTATGATAATTGTGTTTGTGAACTGCCTTATAGATTATGTAGTTCCACATATTAGATTATAATTTCTTTGTCCCTTTCTCAGTTCTGTTGTTTAGAGTGCATCATTCTATTTCTCCTTTTTTTGTTTCTTGATTTCTTTTTCTAGATACTGGGAATGGGAAGCCCTCAAAT